ACCACCAGCGAAGCGAAACACGCCAGTCCAAAGTCAGGCACCCGGGAGGCCCTGGTGGGGCGGCCCAGGCCAGCTGCTGCACGTCCGGCTGCCACGGGAGGAGGCAGGCCCAGAAGGAGTGTGGGAGGCTGCCGCACGCCGGGAGGGCCGCGTGGACGAGAAGGCACTGCATCGGTGGTTCCTCCGTCCCCCCCAGCTCTACCCCGTCCCGTGGCTGCTGTAGTCAAAGACCCCTTTCTTGAAGAACGGCGAGAACTCACAGATGGTGTGTTTGGAAAGAGTCAGCCCCACTTTGTCGATGTGCAGGGGAGACGTCGTGGACTGCAGCATCACGCTGAAAAAGTCCCTGAGGTATTTCTGAAGAAGAGACGGGAGACAAAACGTGGTTAGACGTCGTCGTGGGCTGGAGTCAAGGAGAGAGAAGAAGTCCCAGAAACAACTTGCCACCCACTTTGGAAGAGCTGTTGCTGCCATTGGAAACAGCGCATGGGAATCTGTGTGTCCTTGGCCTTCACCAGACCAACCCAAGGGAATAGAGCCACCACAGCCATTACGCGGGTGGCTCTGCTCTCTGGCTCAGGGCAACATGGCCTCAGGTCTACCTGCGGACAATGCTCAGAGAAATGCCAATGTGGTGCCAGGATGGGGGGTGGGGAAGTGGTCTGCTTGCCAACAATAGTGGCTTCGGTTAATATCCTATTTTTTTAACAGGTCGTTTCCCCCCAACTTACCTGTTAAATAGAAAGCCAATTAAAGGGAGGGGGGAAAAAAGGCTAGCCATCTGTAGAATGCTAAATGTGCTGCTCACTAGCATTTTTAAACAGCACTGTAACTGTCTGATTTGGATCCTTTAAAGGAAAAGAAATGCTGGGGACAAGCGGGTCAGTTCCAAGTACTAATATTTACGAGTCATTTTGCAAAACCCATAATCATCAATGAAAAGAAATTCTGACTAAGATTAATTGCTCTGAACCCCCTGCTCTGCCCCTCCCCACGGCTGCACGTGTTTGTCACAGCAGTCGCCGCCTTTTCTGGCACCGAGCAAGCAAAGCACGTCTGGGACGAGGATCCGAGATGCCGGGGATGGAATGAGACGTGGGTGCAGGCAGGATGTATTAAAGGAAAAGAGGACATACAGAAATAGTTCACATATTTCAGGTCAGGCAAGTGTTATTTACAAGAGAAAATGGGTAAGCCCAAATCTTTATTACTGCCTCAGCTTATTTCAAAAATATAAATGATCCTATCACAAACGCTGACATTAAACATAATTATTATGGACTTTGAGTAACAAAGAAATTTGTCAGCGAAACACGGCTGAGGCCGAGAAGCAGTGGTTCCCACCAGGGGCGGTCCACCCCGTAGAAGACACACAGCGATGTCTGCAGATGGTTTCGTTACTCTGGGTGGGGGGGTGTGGCGTGCATCTAGGCGCATCCCACGATGCACGGGACAGCCCCATGCAAGCATTATTGCGTTCCCAATGTCACTCACGCAACGATTGCGAAAACCTGGCCCAGCAGAAGTGGCATCCAGCTGCCCCTACGAACTGCCGGCCTTAAATTTACTTCTGAAAGAAGACACTCTGCTCAAGGAAAATTCATCAGCGACTTTCTTAAAAGTAATGAGGATTATTAATAATTGACACTGTATAGTAATTTACTTTCTAAAAATCTTCTAACGTCTCATTTCTTACTGACGCACAGTCACTGTACGTGCTTCAAACGGACAATCTGGTGAGTCTTGAACCGTGTGTACACCCGTGAAGCCATCCCCAAAGCAAGAGAACAAAACATTTGTACTGTGCCTCCGCATTTCTGAGCTCACCTTGTTTTATGTTGTTATTGTACTCTGCCTAGAATTATCTGCTCTTATTAGTCATAGCCATTTTTGGATGAGGACCCTGTCGTCAGGGAGGTGAGCAAGGCTAGCGATCAGGAGAGGGGACTTGGAAAACAAGGGTTTTTCACTCGGACTCTGTCTTTTTTTGTTCAGTATTCCTCACTTACTGGTCTCACGGTAATCTCTCAGGAAAGGAGCTTGAAAGAGCGATCAGGTCGAGGCGAGAAGGTGTCAAAACCAATTGCTGAAAAATGAAGATTTTACACCAGTACTTTTTTGCATCAGGGGCAAAAGGAACCGGACTTCAACCTCACTGGGGGAAGGAAAGCGGAGAAGAGCAACTTTAGAGGGACCCAAAAATCCACCCAACGTGGATGCGAGTGTCCAACGCAGACCACACCTGCCGGCCAGCCAATCTTTACAATGCGATAAATACACGTGCGCAAACTGACTGTTGTGGGAAGGTCAAGAGGGAAGTGTTTCCAGAAGGATGAGGAGGAGCTTGTGCACTGGAGTGTGGGGCCACAAGTCTGCCACAGTCTAAAGCTCGAACAGAGCTGGGAACAGCCCCTGCTACAGGTCTCCCACAGGCCGCACGAGTGTGCAGACTAATGCTCACAACCAGCTTGCCCTGGAGATGAATTCCGACAGGATGGAAGGTATTCAAATCTAGGAACAGATGTTGTATCCGCATTTGTCGTAATTGGTTCACAAAGAGTGCGGGACCTTTAAAGGGCCAGTGGAACCCAAAGGGGGTCATGAAAAGTTAAAGTTAAAAAACACAGATAAAAATAAAGAAAATATTGGAGATACCTTCCCTGCCCGGTCACCGCCATCAAGAGACCAGTAAACTAAACTAGGTGCAGGGAGTGTCTTTTTCTTTAAATGAACTCACTGGCATGTCTCCATGGAAACTGGAGATACAGGGACCTCATTCAACGAATTAGAAACATTATAGGAGAGTTTTTTCATTGCAAAACAAACCTCTGCATTGCAGGATTGGGCAGCCGGGGCTCCCTTTACATAGACTGCTTCCTTGACCAAAGAAATGCTTTGATTAGAGAGTACTCTTCATAGTGACCTTGAGGTGCTCTGAAGTATCCAAGGGGAGGCAGGGTGGCCTTGGTGCTGTGTCCAGAGCCACGTGCTTGCAGTGGGCCGGACAACTTCTGGTGAATGACAAAACCAAAGGACTAGGTGTAGGGCTGGGCACAGAAGACAAAAGTAAACTCCTAGAAGGTTCCTGAGGTCACAGACAGCATATCCTTCTTCTTTGTAACCACTGCCATGCCTGGCACACTGCTGAGCTTGGGAAAAGTGCCTGGAAAGAACCCTGATGACGGACGCTGGTGAGTTAATTTTTAAAAATTGAGGTGTACCCTGAGAAAACAGCATGCACACACAGCCTAACAAAGTTTCCAAGACTGGACGTACCTGTGTGAGGAGCACCTAGATAAAAACGAGACAATGTTGCTAGTACCTGGGGGGGGGGGGGGCCACACACTACTGGAACCACGCAGGACACTCTCTTTTGTGTCTGGCCTCCTGTGTGTAACACAAAGCTTGGGAGATTCGCTCACCCTGTTGGGCATCCTTGTAGTTTGCTCATGATCATGGCTGTATAGTATTCTGCATGTGCACATGCCCACTGACTGTCTTTTGCAGATAGTCCAGCAACGGTGACTAGTTTGATTCTTCTCTCTGAGCTCTTCCTCAGTGATAAAATCTGCCTCTACATAATGCGGTGTCTGGTGAATCAAGCTTCTCACTCTTTCTCCAATAAAAAAGTTTCCCTTTAGGATTTGAGGCTCAGGCCTAGATCAGCCAATGAACTAGAACTCGACCTTTGCATATATTTAATATACGTTACAATTATACATAAAATACATATTTGAATATACACATATTTACATTAGTAATTTTTGTGGCTTGGGCTTACCATGTTTTCTATGGCATCTGTGGCTGAAGGGAGAAAATGAGAGTCCTTCCTGTCAAGGTCAGCCCTCCCTGCTATGTGAAAAATAAGTCCAGGGGCCCAGCTGTATCCCCAGGGCAGTGCACTTTATAAAAAAGTATTGCAAAAATTGAAGGACATTAGTTTAAGTGGCTTATCAGGGTCAGAAGGGCAAAGCAGGAAAAGGATTTGTGAAATCCAATATCAAGTTTCTGTTTCTTTCACATGGCATTTTCTCCATTAAAAAAGAAAGAAGAAGAAACAAAAGTAGACGTATTTAAATCTGTTGCTGTTCGGGACCACAGAGGGCCGGTAACCCCTGCCCGCCGGGGGCGGGGGGGGGGGGGGCATCTCACCTGAGTCCTTGCTTCATTCAACACTCGGATCAGGGCCATTGAGAATAGATGGTTATATCTCCAGAGGTTGCACAACATTTCGGCCCTGCCTCATCCTGGTACTTGGAGGATGTAGGTCAGATTAAGCCAAATCCTTTTTCAATTAAGATTGCAAACCCATAGTACAGAGCAAGAAGGGGTCTGGGACAGGGTCTGAGTATGAGTGATTGCAGGAAAGGGCAGGGGCCAAAAGGGGCCCTGAGAGACGGAGGGGCCGGCTGGAGGAGGGTGAGAGAGGAAGTTTTGGGATGGAAGGGAGAACAGAAGCCACAGGGGAGAGAAGGCAAATAGCACAGCAATATTGGAGATCAAACTCTGTGAGTCATGTATTGATTTGGCAAAAAAAAAAAAAAAAAAAAAAAAAAGATTTAAGAAATATATGAGACATTTATCTAGGTTATTTACTTTTTGCTACTTGGACTAACACTAAAGTATAAGGTGTTTTCTTGTTGATGCTTTCAGAAAAGCAGGCTTAGATGGCGGATCTTGAACGCACATTTCAGTACTGAACAGAGTACCTTGATTCCATAAAGTGCCTTTCTTCTACAGTCCGCGGGAATATCTTATTATGTTTTAATCTTTTTTAATGTTTATTTATTTATTTATGAGCGAGCACAAGCGGGAAGAGGGGCAGAGAGAGAGGGAGACACAGAATCTGAAGCACGCTCTAGCCTCTGAGTTGTCAGCCCAGAGCCCGACGCAGGACTCAAACCCACAAACAGTGAGATCATGACCTGAGCCAAAGTCAAACACTTAACCGACTGAGCCACCCAGGTGCCCCTCTTATTATTTTTTAAAGTCAATCCATGCAAAGGCAACGAGCAGGCGTAGACGAAACTGGGAGAGACCACCCCATGGGTGTGTTCCAAATGGAAATGTTAAATAGGCATGTGCTTTTAATCTCCACCTCCAAATAAGACAAAATCCTGAGGGGACCAGGAGCCTTTCAAAAGAAGGCCGAAAGAACACAGGAAAGATGAGGACACACAGCTTGTTCGAGACACCTACATCAGGCTCCTGACCTCTCCTTTCCAAAGGAAAGTGGTCAACTCATACCTGCCAAGACCACTCTATTTCCTGAGGATTGTCTCCCACATACACACAACAGTCTGACCAGCTCCCATCTTGTTGCTCTCACGAAGAGGCCAGTTATCAAGGGCATGTAATGTTGTAGGCACAGTGAGAACTTTTCATGGTATATCTCATTTACTTACCACAAGAGCTATTTATGAAATAGCTATTTATGAAATAGGGACACTGCATGGGACCCATCTGCCAGATGAAGAAACTGAGGACCGAGAGGCTTAAGTAATGCCCCAAAGGTCATGAAGCACAGAGGTGGGAATACCAGATCCATACCCACATCTTTCAGCCCTAGAGGCTGGGTCTCAATCACCAGCCTGCTGTCCAGCGTCTACCATCCCCGTTTTATCCTGTTGGGCCTCCCATGTCCTGAGCACTGTTGTCTCTCACCAGGCAAGGTTGTCTACACTGAGCCAGATATGCTGCCTTTTCCAGGCCTGAGGCTGCTCTCACAGAGACAGGGGGCCTCTGGGTTCTCTAGAGTTAATGTTCCATACAAACATGAGAAAAAGACCTCTAGCTGTGAGCCTTATACTCTTCTCCACAGAGTCCAATGTAACTCTGTTCATGCTCTGATATCTTCCTTACAGAGCCTTGGTGAGCACTGGCCATGTTTTGACTGCCCTGCTTCCTTTTCCCTTCCCTAATAGCACTCAGATTCCCTTCTGAAAAAACAGCTTTCCCTTCTTTGGGGGTTGGTTATCTAGCTGACTTATGGCAGAGGGCTGGTGAGTTTTTCCCATCCATATTCTGGGATGGGCACCTCACTGCCAAAGAGCTACTGGAGATACCACTTGGAATCTGCTGGAATCGATCTCTTATTGACTTCACAGCCACTGCCATAGAGCATTTATAAGAGTGTAAGAAATTCAGGGACCTCTCTCACAGAGGGGCAGCTCCAGGAGAGACTTTGGTCGGGCCATTCCCAAGCCTGGGAGTGGAGAAGGCCATTTGCTTACAATGTGGCCCCAGTGATTTTCCACTGTCTGCAAACAAGTTAACGGACATTAACTCCGAGCACTGGCAGGTGGTAGGTGCCAGTCAAGATCAGAGGAAACCTTCCACCTATACCACATCCAAGCCCCTGGGCTGTGGGGGGTGTAGTCTGTAGTCACATCAAGATCTGCCCAAGTCACCCTTCTCTCACTCCTAGGAGGCTTTAGTGACTAACATTTTTGATGGGTCAGTGCATCCTAGTGGTACATCCCCGGCCAAGTATTTACCTGGAAAGCTCCTGCCCAAAGCCTGATATATACACGCAGGCCAATCTTCAAAATTCCAACACCATTTCAAAATACAACAACTAAATATTATTAATCTTTTGAACCAAAACACAGGCTAATATGGTCTACTGGCTGTGTTAATGAGTTCTGAAAGGTGAAGCACACTCCCTACAGCAATACAGGGTAATTCAGCAAGAATTTAGTCAATTATTTTAGAGCTTTAGCCTGGTACCTCAATCGATACATTGCATGAGGAAAAAAATTGAAAATATAATGTGCTGCTACATGCTATTTTCATTTTTATTTCATTCTTGATGAAGGTCATTTTGTTAACATGATTCATATGTGCCTTACAATATAATTTTAGGCTCTGCTCTAGCTGAAAGGAAAAGTACTTAAGTTACCGGAACAACCTAGCTAAAAGCTGGCCTTATGATGGCCTCTGCTGGCTTGTTCTTTTCAATTCTGGAGTTTCTGGATGAAACGTTAGTCTGGTAATTGGGACCGACCATATGCTCCATAGTCCTTCCAGGCAAAAACCTGCATGATCAGCAGGGAGTTCGATAGTGTGGCCCTTCTCATCTTGCAGCCATTTCCTTTCAGGTCTGGGATCTGGAAAGGAGGGAAGACGGAGTGGTATCCAAACTCAGCAAACTGTGTGAACAAGGGAGTAAGTAAGGCTAGCATGTGCAGGGCTCTGTGTGGGGAACAGCAGGACTTGAAGGAGAATGTGGAAGGCCTGGATGCTGGATTTGGATCTTCAGGCACTTTGTACAAAACACTTACCAGTTCATGAGCTCCCATGACCCCTAAGACATGCTGAGGTGGAGGAGGACAGGTATGTGAATCCTGTTTACAGATGAGGAAACTGAGATCCCAAGAGGCAGTGGCTTAGCCAATGTCAACAGACTATAGAAGCTGACAAACAACTTGGTCTTTAAATTCAGGAGAAAGTCAGATGGCTTAATATCACTTACAAGGTGCAATCCCTTAAGCCTGAAAGGTAATGAGTAAATGTGCATGTAAACACAGCCCTTCTCTTTAGGGATCTCCATACCATGCAGACTCTCAGAATTTACTGTGCGTGAGTGTGTGTGTGTGTGTGTGTGTGTGTGTGCATGTGCACACACGCACGCATAGAGAACACGTGGGAATAAGAGGGCTTCAGAAGCGTTTCAAAGATCTTACCTTATTTTTTGGCTCCTTTCCTTTTGCTTTAATGCTCAGGGGGATAAAGTCATGACTATTTTAGGTTACTAAAAAGTTGCTTTAACAGGGCTCATGACTGTAAGTGTAGTCTGCTGCTCATTTCACAGGCATGCACCACCCAGCTGTGCCACTCTCATGATTTCCCCAGCCATCTCATTGTTGTGGAGCCCCTTCATCTCACAAAATTTTAACATAAATTCGTAATGTAATTTAAAGTTATTGAAATTATTAAAACGTACTTTAAAAATGTAGTAGGGCCTTATCCACCTTTCCACTGTGACATATTAACAGGGAAGACAGTTCGCTGGAATTCATTTCCAGAACCCATTAGCCAGGGCAGCTTAAAGATAACGATCAGTCTAATAAGACTTAGAGGTTTCATTTACCTTGTAGCACTTGGAAAATTCATCCTTGACTGATGGGTTCCAAAGACCAATCAAGCGGGGATGGAGACATGCTGGGATATTTCTAGACATGAGAGGTCTGGTCACCACTGGCCATGGATCATGAATCAACCCCCTACCAGTGGGGTCAATATTCACTCACTCAAGTCTTCCCAGTTCTGAACTCTCATAAATTCTAGTTGACACCTTTCTCTGGCTATTTTAGGGATCCTAAAATTTGTCTCCACTGGATCAAAAATGCTGGGTTCCTTTCCTGACATGGTCCTAAATGTCCTCTACACTCTGATGAAATTAGGATGGTTTAATTCAAGCAACTCATCCATCCACCACAGTTACCACACACCTGCCCTACATGGAGCAGCGTACCAAGCACTGGGTGTCCAACGTTGACTAAAACAGACACTGAGCCTGTGCTGAAAAGGAGCCTGGGCCGCCCAGCACCATCTCCTCATTGTCCAGAATCCTTCATCTAAATCCTACTTGTCTTCTGAGGACTGGATCAAGGTTTGTTCTTCGTCGGCTCCTCTTGAGACTTCATTCATGCACCCAACAAATATTTACTGAGAGCTTTCTATATGTCATGCTGCTGAGGAGTCAGTAGTGAATAAGGTCAGTTCTCGTCTTGAGTCACATGAAGGCATTCCAGGGACTTGGGACAAGTAAAGCTCTGATTAAAATATGGAATGAGATGATTTTGGAGTACATAGAAAAGGCACCCAGCCTAGTCCTGGGAACTGGTGACATTTCTGCCAAGAGCTGAAGGATGAATAAGAATCAGACAGGTAGAGATACTCGTAGAAGATACTGTAGAAGCCTATTCCCGGCAGTGGGGGGAGAGGGGGTGGGCGGAGAGGGGCGGGGGATGTGCAAAGCCTCATGTTGACAATGAACAGTTTGGGGTCCCACCAAGAGTCCAGCATGGCTGGACCACACACTATGTGGGGTTCATTTACGTGGGGGACACACTTCTGGAATGTACTGCTCACTGGATCGGCTCTCCAATGGTCCTCATGTTGCAGCTTCTTCACTGTGCTCCAACAGCATCTCTTCTCTCTGATCCATGGATCCTGCCAGGCCTTCTGTTTTCCAAGAGAAAACACTGGAAGTAAAGCTGACAGTGAAGGAGTCACCTTGCAGGCTTCGGTGCCCCATCTGAGCCCAGTCCTCAGTGGAACCATGATCAGAATACAGCCATGTAAGTGGCCTGACATGATACCTGACATTTGGAAAAGATGAACCACTTGGCCAAGCCCTGCCCAAATTCCAGAACCACAGCATCACAAGCAATAAAGTGGTGGCTGCTTTCAGGAAGTTAAGTTTTGGGGTAGTTTATTACGTGGTGATAGATAATCACAATAGATATGCGTGGGAAGAAGGTAAGGGATGAGAGAGTCAATGAAATTAGTCAAAGCAGAATAGAAAAGTCTCATTGGTTTTTATTTATAATTTATGACTAGCCATACATCACAGTCCGTGCTACTAACCTTTTCCAACCTTTTTAGTATTTCTAATGAATAATTCTATCTTAGCAGGTACTTCTTTTCTATCCATCCTAGGTTTTAAAGTAAATACTTGAAATAAGTAGTCATCATTTGAAATATGGCATTTATTTCTTGATTTTATAGAGAATTCTGAGAGCTCCCAGTTAAAATTCATCAGGGTGAAAATGTTAGTCTGTGATTACAGAATTGGAACTATTCATTACAGCTATTCAGAGAATCTTCTTTATGAGCTTAATGACATAAGCATATTGTATTGAATTATTATGGTACTGCATCAATTGGACTCATAAATTTAATATACTCAGTCTGGTTCACATATTCTAATAAAATCCAGTGAGCTTTAAACATTTTATAAGGAATGCGCATTTAAAGTCATGTGATATTCAGTTTTTACAGGTTGGTGTTCCTGCTTAGGGTAAGAAGCGAGCTTCAATGATCTTGGCCACCCGGCCTGGTAGACCAGCAAGCTTGGGGGGAGACCCCCCCCCCCCCACCCCAGACAAACAGGCCACATTAGAAAGCCCCAAATCCATCAGCTCAGGCTGTGAAGTTGGTTGAGCTTTTCTCTAGAACCCAAGTGGGTATCAGGCCCATCTTTTCGGCTCATGAAGGGAAGAGAGCAACTAGCTGAGGCTGCATCTTGAGCCGTGAGCAATGGCATGTCAGCTGTAAGGGAGCAGGCAAACCCGCTTCCAGGCAGTCTGACAGGCCCCCCTCTCAACCTCATTCGGCTGAAGCAAAATACGGCAGGACAGACACTGTGGAGAAGCGCAGTTTCCAGGGCTCGCTCTGGTTCTTTGACTTTTGTTTACTGGATCTAGGTTAAGAGATTGGTAAGGGTCCCACACACAGCAACTGTCTCTGCATCCAGGCGGGGAGGGTGGAAGAGGACCTGGCCATGTGGACCACACGACTGCTGGAACCCTACCCTTGCACTGTGAGCCACGTCCTGGGCACCCAGTCACACAGCAGCCAGCACGCTGGGCACGGGGGGCATTACCATGCTGGGGTCCAGATTAAGTCGTGAAACTCTCCTGCACCTCACTTTCCTCATCTGATTAGAATGCTTTTTAAATCAGAAGATGAAATGAGAGGTCTGTCAGGTGCTAGGGGCAGGGCCCAAGTCACAGCATGCATTTATTAAGTAGGTGACATTATTATCTACACAGCTTTGTCCTTGCAGAGTTAATCTGCAAATATAATCATTTTCTCCTCTTTTAGATGTTTCAGGGCACGTGGGCTTAAAATGTGTTAGTATTTAATGCTTTAATGTTTTCCCCTTCAAAGGAAAATGGAAGACAACAGTCTGGAATGGTTTTTTTCCAGAGTCACCTCATATCAGATGCTGGCAGACCCTTTATTTCAAAAATTGCTTTAAAGTAAGAAAGAGTTAATGTGTTTCTCAAAATGGGGAATCATGTTCATGTGTTTAAAAATATAGGCTACACCAGGTAAATTAACTATGCCCCCAAAGCTCATTTTAAGATATAGTTTGGATACTGAGATTCTGAAAAATACTATCTGGGGAAAGAAAGAACTATTCTTTGTTTCTCAGCTCACGATTCCTTCTTGCACCATCTACATCTTCAAAGAGGTTCTTGACATTCTGAGGGGGATGACTGCTCCAAATGGCCAATGTGACTGACAGACTTTCAAATGAGAATCTCATTGTGTGGTACCTCTTGGCTATAATATACTTAAACTCAAATTCAAAGAAACCTCAAATTCAAAGGTCCCCAAAAGCTTAAGAATCAAGAAGTAGTTGCGCATTCATTACTGGCATCCCAAAGTCTCCCTCTTAGTAGAAGCCCAAGCACCGGGACATGGTGTGACGCTTCAGGGACCCCCCACGTGACCACCTTGCTCCTCTCTACCATCCGTGCCTGTGGTTGAGCAGGACCATCCCTGTCTGACCTGAGGTCACTTCTGTATTGATGGCAAGTTTCCTCAGGCTGGCCTTGTACTGGGCCATCCCTGAATACCAATGAGTCCCTGAATTCCAGGGCAAGAGGGTCAGCTCTTGAGACTAGGAGGGAAGACCCACTGCCCCTTTTTTGTTCTCTGGACGAGGGGCTCCTGATGATCCTTGTGAGGCTATTTGCCTTCAGAATATCTCCCTGCCTTGGGAGTTATTCCTCAGTGTCCACCCACTGCCCTACGTCCCAGGAGGGAGCCATGGTCATGCCCTAGGTGTGATTAGGCCTGTGGCCCTGAGCGGTGGGCCTGTGACCCCACCCCACGGAGAGGATTAGCTGAGGATTTGGATTATCCACACCGGTGATCCCTTTCACTGGGGACAATGATGGAGGCTTGACTATGTCGGGGAGGCTGGAGGCAGGGAGAAAAGCCAGACCAAACCTTCTCTCATATAACATCTCTAATTCTAAAAAAGGATGGGGTAGGTGTAGATTTTTAATAATTCCTTCACCAAACAGATATCATCCACACAATTAAGTATCTAAGTTGAAAAATATATACATTGAAAACATGTACCTCCTGCACAGCACTTTGCTCATAAAAGACACGGTCTATTAGGTACCTGATGCAATGAATGGTAGGTTAATATTAAATGTTAATAAATCCTGCTGAACAATGAGAAGCCTGGGTTTTCTCTCTTTCAGATCTTCCCTTGCAGCAAAATTTCACGGATTTGTAGTATCTTCTCTCTTCTGAACAAAGGAAGTTTACTAAATTACTGTAGAGAAGGAGTCTACCAACTTATGCTTATGCTTAACTTATATGCTTATGCTTATCTTAACTTATGCTTCAAAGCCAAACTTTAGAAACTCTTCAAACTGTCCTTGGCCTCTGTCCAAATCTGAAAAGTTGCTGCAGAAGAGAAGTTGGAAAGGTTGCCCGTTGGGCAGGGGATGAAGCACGTGCTTCCTTGGATACTCGTGTCTGGCTCTGTTCCCCACAACGAACCTGAGCCTGTGGGAGCAACAGTCTTTCAGCTGTCACAACTTTTAGCACTCGAGATTGTTCTCAGCTGAGAGCCACTGAAAGCAATGTGGTACAAGTTAAAACAGAGTCCTGGCAAAATGTGGAAAGAAGATCGTACAGATGAAAGGGAAATCACACCAGCTGGGGGATCGCAGAGAAAGCGATGGGGCCATTAAATCTAAGAAATAATGGGCTAATTTGGGCTAATTTGACATCCAGTTTCTGTCACAAGGAAACTGCCTTCCAAAGTAAGAAATGTCAGTTTGTACTGACTGAGCTATGACTTGGATTGCCCAGAGTCTTTCGAGTAAGAAATTGCATATAAATGTAATGTTGGGGACTAGAAGATAAATAAGCAGCAGAAGTGGCAAAGAGAAGGTGAATCAGCAGCAAACAGACACCAAAATGCATAAATACCCCAGCCTACGGAGATAGTTAGGGCAGATGGTTATCTTGCTGCTCATAGCACTTTATCCACAGAGCTCGGAAATAAAAGCTCCAGAATCCACTGGGGCTTTGTTTCCAGCAGGCTAAAAAATCCACCGAGAAAAGGGTGATGGCTTCATTTACTGCCATTTTCAACTCTGATTAGCAAATGCTTTCTTGATTTTCGTACCAGTTTCTCAATTTTACTTATAAATACTATGAAACAGGTGATCTCAATTAGGAAACAAATTAGGCCAAGTGTTAATTTTTCTGTTTTTTTTTTTTTTTTTGGTTGCCTGGAATGAATATTATATATGTAAATGTAACCGCATTGCAGTGAATTCCTGGGAACAGAAATAAGCCTATCTAAAAATGGACGGGAGCTTTACACAGGCAAACAATAAAGACAAAATGTTGAGTGAAATTGGGACAAACTGATGTTCTTACCCGTTTCTTTCTCCCAAGTATCATCTCAAAGGACTGCAACATGTGCTATGATTCATTACTGTTATGAAATATAAGCAACACACACAGAAAAAAAAAGGGGATCATCCAAGGGGAAAAAAAAAAAAAAAAAACAACTACCTGAATTCTAAAATAAAGATACAGTTTCAGAAGCAACAAAGGACAGTACAGAAGTTCACTGGCAAAGGCCACAGTGAGCACCTTTAATAAAAGCACAATTTACTTGGAAAACAAATCTAAATAAATGGAATGAAAGGAATCGAAGCATCTTCAAGAAAGCCTAATTCAAATTTATAAAAGAGAAAGGGTGACTGCCAGATGTTGATATAAACAGTGAGCTGAGAACTAGCAGAGACTGGACAAAGTGGTTCTTTTTTTAAAGTTTTATTTTTTCAATTTATTTTGAGAAAGAATGAGCGAGTGGGGGGAGGGAGAGAGGGGGGCAGAGAGAGAGAGAGAGACAGAGAGAGAGAGAGAGAATCCCAAGCAGGGATTGGGATTCAGTGCAGAGCCACACTTGGAGCTTGAACTCACCAACTGTGAGATGATGACCTGAGGTGAAGTCAAGAATCAGCCGCTTAACCGACTGAGCCACCCAGGCGTCCCAAGAGAAATTGGTTCTTAAAATAAACAGACACACAAGAAGAATTCTGTGTATGTCTTCTGGGCTATTGCAACAAAAGGAATGTATGACAAGGAGCTATACAGATGTCAATGGAAATAAATATAATTGATCATTTCAG